ATGGTGTTTTTAATAGGTGTTTGCTTGGCCTTTTTATCAAAGAATGTCCAGTTTCAGGACACATTTTGATGTTTTAAGAGACAGTGACTTGGAACATAAAAAAAACCCATCTTCACACCTACCATACATAAGCAAAATGAGTGTTAGCATCCCTCATAAACTGCTAAAGATATACCAATAAATTGCTCTGAATACTTGTTAAATATATATATATATATATATATATTTAATACTGACAACCATACTAAGACTTGAGAGGCACGGTTCTTCTGACTTATGTAGGACTAAACACGGCACGAGCCCATCACTTTTGATTGGCCTGGAAGGTCTGGCAGTTGTGTCCTTGAGTGGAATCTGGCCTGAACACAGTTGGCTCCAGTCCCTCAGTTACTTCCTGCGGGCAGCCTCCGGTGCCAGCTTTGGTGGGAGCTGCTGCTGCTGAGGCAGGTCTGCTGCGACACCGTAACTGGGAGGATGCAGGTCTTAGTTTATCTTCTGGGGCTTCTTTTTTTCCCTTTGTTTTACTACCTCTCATTTTCTTAATTTATTGAACATGCTTCAGATAGCAGGTTTGGGGAATTTTTTAGTCATTCTTTTTACTTGAAACCTGTGTGCTTTTTTTGGATATATATATGAACAATTTAACAAACTGTTTCTTAAACTCATTTGGTTTTGTAATTTATATAGAATTCAGGAGATGATTAAAAGGGCTATTCTCTATTCCCTATGCAAATATTTTAACTGTTGTAGTGTTTGACAAAATGGGATCTAAAACAAAAATCTGCAAAGTGGAAAAACAAATCTGTTTACAGTGGCATTGCTGACTATCCTACCATATTCAGCACTTTTAAATATTGTTATTTATGAAAATGTAGTTTAAAATGCAAGACAAAATATTTATAAATGTTTCTTTTAATAAATACCTGTTTTGTCTGAAAGTGCTACCGTGTTATGACAACTTTATTCATGTTGGTTAGCTACTTGCAATTATGAATAAAATATTCAATTATTATACTGATAGAATATGAGCTATGATGTTTACAAATCCTGAGGGGGGAAAATTCAGTGAGAAAGGACTGCCTCCTTCTACTGTGAAATGCTGTTAGGAAAAAAACAATTTTTCTTGCTTTTTTCTTAATTGGAATTTAACTATGGTCTTACATATGTCTAGTATCATTTGACTAGTTATATTTACTTGGTACTAAACATATACAGCATCCTATATGTATATATTTACGTAGTGTAATTTCAAGTTGTTGGTGTTTGAGGCACAACACCTTTGGTGCACACAACTAAGCAATGTGTAAGAGACAAAACTGCATGCATAAGTCTTGACAAATGTAGACTTGAATATTATTAATGTTACTATTTGATGGTGACCTGCTAGTCACAAGCTATCTTTATAAGATATTTCACACAGGTAGAACTTCTTGTCAACAAAGACAAGTCATCCTTTCAAGACAGGTTTAAAGCTAGATGTGCAGGCCCTAAAATATTACCTTGATTTCTAGCATAAGGTTCCAAAATCTGTATTTGGAAACTGTGACATAATTTTGAAAAATATTACACCAATCTTCAGTGTAATACTGCAATGAAATCATGTTCAAAAGTTTATTGTCAAAAATCCTCTATTGGGAGGGATTTAAAAATAGCATGTAACATTTCTTTCTTGGAGCAAATGCTCATATTAAAACATTTAATGTACGCTTCGTTTATTGGTTTGGCTTTACCAATTTTTTTTATGGCAAAAATGGATGTGGTCTAAATGGATGGACAATAAGTAACATGATCTCATTGCCTATCATACAGGTCTTTGAACACAAACTGTAAAAAAGTCAAGCTATTAAACTCATTTATTGTGCATGCAGTGTACAATACACTTTGAAAAACTGCCTAAATACACTTATTCTATAGCTTGGAATAAAATAAGTATGTATTTAACTTGTATTTCAGTTTTTCATGAGAATGTATATAGCAAGCGCACTACAGAAAGTGAGCTATGTTTTTGTCACTTTTTGCCCAGTGTTTTAAATTCCTGTCAAATAGAATCTAATGCCAAAGGGACAAAAATAAGCAGAATACTTCTGTACCCTCCTGTCCTTTAGACTGAAAAGACACTGAATCTATTGTTTGTTACACATGTGTTCAAGTTAGCTGTTTACAACCAGCTTTCACATAACTGAGCTTAAAGTAGTTTGGGATACACAGAATGAAGCAAAACTCACAGATAGTATAATGAGCATCCAGATAAGCCTGCAGGCATGTGTGGTGTGAAGGAGATTCAAGGTTTGGAGAAAAGACAGGCTGGTGATCCAGGTTAAACAGCTACGGCATGCTACTATGGAAATGTGGTCATAGCACATCCAGGTCCACAGCCAGTCCATAGCATACTTGAGTACCTGTGGAGTCCACACAGTTCATTTGCAGGACAACAGAAAGTGGACACAAACCAGACTTCAGCTAGCAATAGTTACTTTTTAAATTAAAAGCATGCTGAAGTGCTGCTAGGCTGTGGTCTAAACTGAGCAAATAAAGGAGACCTACAGTCCAGCTTCAACAGCCAGGGTTTAAGACATCATCTCATGCTAAACTTGATTCCTTAGGCAGCAGACTCAATTACAAGGAGCCAATATCTAAAATCAAGCAAGGGGCTTTTTCAGTAAGAGCAGCTTGCTGGGCTGACCATGCTGTGAGCCCACTTAGGAATCCACAACTTCCATATGCAGGAAGTGGTTGCACAATCCATTTAGCAGAAGTATTCCGCAACACCAATTCAAAAGCAATCAAAGCTGATACAAGAAAGTCTCTAATTTTAGCACAACAAGGAGTACAACACAAAGAGTAAAGACTGTATTCCTACAATATCTGTGAGCCTGCTCCCTGGCACTGTTGACCCAGTCAACAGAGCCCGAGTCCTTATCAAATCCAACAAAGCAAAAAATTAATGTTGTACATAGGCAGGCAGATGCAATGTCTCCTCCAAGTTGATCTGAATCATTCCTAAGGCTTTTTCTCAGCCTATAGTGCTGTTATTTTTTAGGAGACCCAAAAGTAGTGCTGTACCACAGCCTGGGACTTTGACACAGCAAGTCCCATCCTGTTCACTAATATGCTGAGTACATCTGCAGTGACAAAGCATCAGCCCAGTTTGAACATGCCGTTTGAATACTTCTGCCAACAAGTGATGTTGGTGGGATGAAAGAACAAAGCAATAATAGTGCCAAAATCAGTTAGACAAAGACTTGACAGAAACAGTGTCTGCATATATAAACTTTATACCAAAAGCCTGATTTTGCCCCTTCCTTTATCCATGAACTCACCCTGTGGAAATCCACCCTTCTCATTTATAAAAGGGATATGATTCAGGTGATTCAAAGGCTGACAATCTGTCATTGACTCAGATTACTTTTTTATTTCTCTCAGAAACTTTATCTTAAATTAGTTTTCTGAGTATTCCATAGGACTATTCACAAGCTGGACTCAGAGTTAGATGCTCATTCATTGTTACAGAACATCAAAATATTTTGTCTGTTAAAGCATAAATTGGGTCATTTTTCCTTTATGCTTCCGGAAGAAGATCTCAAGGAGCTTCATGGCCAGGCAGTAGTGGCTGCAAAGGAAGCTTTTGGTGGGTTAGATTTCATAGTGATGGCCTGAGGTTTTTATCAGTGCCAGACAACTCACACAGGCTATACATTCTCCACAAAGGTCTTCCAGTGTGACTTTTACGTAAAAAATTTTGCTACACTTTACCAATACACCTTATCTAAAGTTGCGCACTTAAAATCATAGGAAAATATTTTTATCTAACCATTACTTTTAATATTTAATATTTTAATAGCAAATTCATACACTAGCCTTTCGATTTCCATCATAGAACAAAAACTTTCAAGTATTCTGACTACCAAGACCACTTAGGTTTTCAATTATTACTCTTGCTTTTGATATTACATTTGTGAAAATAACAATTTACTAATGTTTCATAAGGAAGTAACTGTTAACTGCAATTTAGTTGTAAGATATGAATGCCTAGGTCTGGTAAGACATTAACAAGGACAGAAGGAAGGCAAGGACAAAATTCTGACTCCTCCAAAGACTGCAATACAAAATACTGCCTAATAAATTTTTACGTAAAGTTGCACATTTTTATAATAAAATATATTCTTGAAACTATTTTGAGTTTAGCCAAGAATCTCCTTAATGATGTAATCTAAAACAAGGTAATATGCACTCAATCTGCATTTCAGGAGGGATTTGCCCAGATCATCCCAGAACACACAGTTCCTAAATAGCTGCATCCTCGCTGCTTTCTCACTTGAAACTAACATGTAAAACACTGTACTCAGATCTGTATTTTGTAAATGGGCTGTCTTTTAGTCTCACTGCTACTCTGTGAAGGCAGTTTGAATTGCCTTCTGACAATTTTCTTTTCTCCTAAATGCTTAATTTTGCACCTGTTTTCAGTTCCACAGTTTTTGCACGGTCCTCCCCAGCGTACTTTAATTCGGAAGATTTCTTCTGGAGGAAGAAGGTCTGTAAGAGTAAGAGTGGATATCCAGAGGCCAGGCTCACTCTTCCCACCAACCTCACTTTTAGCTAGGCTGGCTTTAAACCGCCCTGGTAGAAACCTCAGTACGCCCAAGGCTCTTCCTCAGAAGCCCGGCTATAAGTTTGGGATAAGGAGGTTTTGATGAGGTTTGACGCTTTCTTGATTTTTTTTTTTTCTTTTTTTTTTTTTTTTTTTTTGTTTTTGTTTTTTTTGGTTGAGAATGACTAAAACCTCCATCCTGGGCCTGCAGGGGGCGCTCGGAGCGCCCGGCAGGGACCATGAGGCGGAGCCCCGCCCCCTCAGCGCTGGCCAATCAGAGCCCGCCCGCCCCGCCGCGGGATTCAGCGCGCCAAGGGAAGCCGAACCATTTCGGCCATTTCCGCCACCGGAGACCCGATGATTTCCGACTGCGCCCAAAGCCAGCGCCGAGACGCTTCGGCAACTTCCGGAAACGCGGAAGGGAGGCTGCCAAGCGCGCTCGGGCGTCTCCGGAACGCCAGCGACTGCCGGGCGACAGGAGAGCGGCCGCGCTGCGGCCCGGCCAGACATGCGGCTGCTCTCGCGGGCCCTCCGCGCGGCGCAAGGCTACCGAGCCGCCGCGCTGCCCCCGCGGAGCTTCCGGGCAGCGCCGGCGGGATGGGCGCTCCCGGCGCGGCGCGGGCTGGGCGCGCGGCCCGGCCTGGAGGAGCTGTTCGCCGCGCCCTCCCTGCGCCGCCTGCTGGAGGCGCGGGCCGGGGGCGGCGCGGCGCCGGAGCTGGCGGCGCGCGTGCGGCGGCTGCGCGACAAGGAGCGGGAGCTGCGCGACACGCGGGAGCTGGCGCGAGGTGCGGCGCGGGGCGCGCGGCGCCGCCCGGGAGCGGCACCGGGGGGCGGAGCTTCCTTTGCATGCGCCGTTCACCTGCCGCGATGGCGGCTGCGCGCGCGGGGCGCGGCCCGGCGGCGGGAGAGCGGCGCGCGGGTCCCCGGGCGGGGCCGCGACGGTGACACGCGCGTCACCCGCGGGAGCCCGCGGCCGCCCCCCCGGGCATTCCGGAGCGGCGGCAAAGAAACTGCCCGAGCCGAGTTCGCGAGTGCAAGTGGGAGAAGCACTTCCACCGGCGTGGGAAGTGCCTTTTTTTTTTTTTTTTTTTTTTTTTTTAAAGATAATTTTTTTTTTTTTTTTTTTTTTTTTTTTTTTGGTGAAGGTTTTTTTTTTTTTTTTTTTTTTTTTTTTT